AATTTATGAATATTCCTATGATTGGTTTTGCCCTGTATAAAAAAAAAACAGAATTAAGAGCTAATAGTATGGAGTACGAAACCCTACAATCCTATAAGCGTATTGATATGAAAAATAATGAATCAATAATCTGAAAACAAATATAAATGACGTTTTCATAACAATTCACCGAAAGAGTGATACACGTCATTTGGCTGAATCCCTATTTTTTCTATGTCTTATGTGACTCACTTCTTTCGCAATTATATCTTTATTAATAATGATATATATGGTGGTTCTGGTAATTAAATGCATTTTATATAATATCTATTGATCATAATTAAAGTGTGTGTGTGCGGGATTCCAATTTCAACATAACTTTTAGTCTAAATTTATAAAACATGATATTTATGATATTTAGTCATAACATGTCTATTGCGCCCCCACTCTTTCATAATTACTGATAATGATAATATTACTGATTTTTCGAAAAACTAGTTTGCATAATAATTTTTTTAGTTGAAAATAGTTTTTATAATAAAAAGATATTTACATAATGACTGTAAAAGTTTGTGTGTTGAAAGCTAATAGCTTGTACTAACATTAAAATGAAAAGTACGTACAAATAAAAACTTTTCATTTGTATTCTGACTAATTTCGTTTCAATGTTATACTTGCGTCAGCAGTTTCTACAACAATTTCAACCCGATAAAAAAACAGTACTTGACAAGTATAAGCTAACTAGAAAATTGCGTGTCATGTTACCGTTGACAGTTTATAGAATTGACGAAATTCATGTACGAATTGAAAGGCTTCAGAGACGATGATTAATCATTCGAAAAGAAATAAATTGTATTATGTACATTTTTTTTATAAAGATTGTATTTTGGATTCAACAGGGTGTCTATTACTGAAATCAACGAATTCTCTTTTCGGTATATTCACGGATTTTTATGAAATTACAGATCTTATTATATATTATGTACGCATTATCTAGGGCATTTACAATATTGCTCTATTTTTTTTATAAATACTATACATTCTTTCTCAAAACTGTATGTACAGAAAAAACATTGGTATTGTATTAGAATGTCGACGTGGTCCCTCTAAATACAGATAATATATCTATTCCATGCTTCTCAGTTTTATGTTAATTACGTACAAAAAAAATCGATCCCATAGAAAGACCTTTTCTATAAGAACTTTCTTATTATTGAAAACAGAACAATCCTACTGATATAGATAATTATGTCGGTCATTCGAATAAAACTATTGACAGATAATTCTGTTTTCGCTCTTCGACTAACCAAATATCGCAATTATTAGGACACCGCTAAACGGATAAGGTATAGAACAAGAATGCAATCGAATCGATTATCATAGAAACAAATGATTTTATTTTACGTTAACTTATTACCAATAATATGTATTTGAATAATTTATTATGTGCTATTGAAAATCAGTCTACCGAATATCAAATAATAATTATAGCAACAGAAATGGCTTCTTCCATTATTTACTTATTCTTTATATATGAATCTTAGCTTTAAATATATACATTTACATAAAGTACCGATATACGAACAATCAATGCAAGATATATATCTTGAAAAATTATATTCAAAAACTAGAAAACTTCATTTTTTTTAGGGCTGTTTTATCTTCATTGTGCATTTTTGATTTTTATCAGAACAGATTCTCATACACATGTATACTTATCTTTTCCTTATGAATTGCCCCGATAATTTATTGAAAGATATTGTTTTTTTTTCAGGAAGTGCAAATCATTTATATTTTTTATTCTAAAAAAGTTTATATTATTCATATAGAATAACATTTAACTAATGATTGAAGTACAAAAAAAGTATATAGAAGTACGTGTTTTTACCTTTGAATGAATAAGAATATGTCATGATTATATTAACTATCACCCACGCTTAACCCTACGCAGGCAGCCTCATCGAGAACTCAAAACAATCTTGTGATAGCCTAATTATGCAATTTAATCCTGATATAATACATATAAAACAATTTTTTATTCATTATCTTTGTCTTGTTATATTTATTTCGAACACACGTGCATCTATATAGTTACTGGTATTCTGACAATACAGCACAAAAATCACATGCCGATACAAAATTTCACGCTTATAATAAAATGCATATTTACGTTTCTTTCGTGTCTTGTATCAGTATGCAAATTTTTTCTTTTATCCGGAACAAAAATGTCCGTCTTAGAAATAAAAACACTGTATTTCTTTTTCGCGGAATATTAACTAATTTTATCATTAAATCATCAACTAAAGCTTTAAATTTTATTCTTATTTTATTTTATCTATTTCAAAATAAAAAAAAAGAAATAGCTTCTACTATGTAGAATTTGCATATCATTATTATAAAATCTAAAATATCTCAATTTTGTTTCAATCAAGTATTTTTGTATAATATAAATCGATAATTTATAAAAGTTGATCACATTGCAATGTTTTTTTCTCTTGACTACTTTGAAAACCAAGTTCAATAATACGAATAACATTATAACCATCTTCCGGTCGAATTTCTAATTGTTTTCCATGAACAATACTATTGTATAATTGCTCATAAAAAAGTCCATAATTACCATTTAATGTTTCATATTTTTCTTTTATTATTCGACCATCTTTTGTTTCTGTATGAAGAAGACCATAAGGGGCTGTTCGGAAATCATGTGATCAGTTTTTTGGTCATTTATGACCCCCTCCCTCCTCCTTGTGATCATGAGTGATTTTTGAGCGATCCCCTCCCTATCACGTGATTTCGGACGGATCGGGTAGCTTTGCAAAGGTCCCCGTACTCCCCTCAGGTATAAGCCATATCTCCGGCAAAGTTCTATAGAAGAATTTTATGAGTATGATCACGTGACGAGTAGGCTTGACCTCCCCCTAGTGATTTTTAGTGATAATTTCGGGAGCCCCTCCTGCCCTCTACTTGATCACGTCATTTCCGAACAGCCCCCAATCTTCAATTGGTTCTTTACCCCAATCATTATTTTCATTTAATATTGGTGGCATAACACCAGTTCGAAGTACACCTTCTTGTATATCATCACCATGTTTTATAAATGAACCTTTTGTACCATGTAAAACATATCGTGGACCCATTTCTCGAACAAGCATACTAGATTTAAGTGTTACACGTAAATGACCGTAATCAAGCCGAACATCAAAATAATCATTAACATGTGCAACTGGTCGTTGTATACGAATATCAGCTGTAATTGTTTGTGGATGTCCAAATAAACTTAATGTTTGATCAATTAAATGTGAACCTAAATCATAAAAAATGCCAGCACCTGCTTCATCTCGTTCACGCCATGCGTTATCACCTTTTAATTCAGGTCGATAACGATCAAAATGTATTTCACAATCAAGTATTTCATCACCTAATAATTTCTTTTGAATTATATCATTAATTGTACGATAACCAGAATCATATCGACGATTATGATAAGGACATAAGATAAGTTTATTTTTTTTTTGCAAGTTCAATTAATTCAAATGCTTCATTACTTCGAATTGTCATTGGTTTTTCAACAACAACATGTTTACCTTTTTCTAATGCTTCTTTACTTAATGAATAATGTAAATCATTTGATGTTGTTATTATAACAAGATCAATATCCGGATCATTAAATAATTCGGTTGTTGAACGAACGGTTTTTATATTTGGATAAATTTTTATTGCTTCATTTGTATGACGTTCTACTACACTTCGCAATTCATACATATGTGACATTGTATGTAGAAATGGTGCATGAAATACTCGGCCGGATACACCGAAACCAACTAGACCAACTCGTATTTTACGTGAGGAAGACATATGGATTATTTATCTATAAAATATGCATGCAGAATTTTTAAACTATAAACCGAAAGTTCTGAAATATTTATTAATTTTTGAATTATTTCAATTTTTAGGTCATTGTATTAAGTATTTGTTATTTTCAGGGGGTGTGGATGGTATGATATGTTTACCCCTTTGTTTCTATTCTAGATATGCGTGTATGTATTTCTTCTATCTCTCTCTCTTTTCTATCTCGATCACATGTTGTTTTTCTCTTCTATCCTTTTCTTATTGTCGTTGTTTCGAACTATCTTCTAGATTAACGTAATTACGAATAATATGATGACAAACAAAAATAACTTTTTCTTTCTTCCAGAAGAAGAAGATATAGAACTGAGTGACGTAATTTAGGCAGAATATTCGCAACCTTGAAAACATATACGACTTTCTTTTCTCTTTAACCTCTTATCACTAAAAATAACAGAATGAAAGTACCCGAACAAATAAATATCTTATAATAATTCGTACTTATAAACATATTTATTTTTAATAGTAATATTTTCGATGATTTATATCTAATTGAACAAAAAGAGAAGCTTAGTATATTTTTATAATTGGTATATTAAATTAATTTGAAGAAAAACAAAAGTATTTTTATCTATGAAATATAAACCAAAAACAACTGGATTCGTTCCCTCGAAGCGTCACGTTATTTTTCTTTCTTTTTTTTGATGATGTATTATGAGTGCGCATATGAATTATCAAAAATAAATATTGACGATATGTTACCCGATGACCCAATTTCTGCGTGTTTTTTTTATCTATAAGAAAAAAACCGAACTTCGATCTATTGATATGGTTTTCTTAAATTTGTAGAACATAAACTATTAATGTATTTCGGATAAGATAATACTAGAAGCTTTTCATTTTACTTGATGTATAAAATTCTTGAAAGTTTATGTAAATAATTCGTATTTGTTGTTTTTTGATTCAAAATAGAATCGTCCGATTTTTAAGTACGCATTTCAATGTGCCTATTTTGCAGTTTATATTAACAAGAACAATAAGTATGTGTCATCATCATACCATCTGACACACCCCCCCAGTGAAAATTAACCAATCAAAAAGCAAGTCCAAAGTATAATATAGAAAATAGACCGACACACCTCCTTTTTTCTCTTCTATACTGTACGAAAGAAAAAGACATTTTCTCTGATTCTCTCTTTATCTCTCTCTCTTTCTCGTGCTTTCTAAACTTTGCCCTTTGTTGCCTATATAAAGACGAACATTTCAGTGTAGTTACATTTACAATTTTGATCAATTTCAAGCAACATTAATAAGGTAATATTTTTAAAAACAAACATAATCGTATGTATTCTCATTTTCTTTTCTTGGTTTTTCACGTTTTACCGAAACAGAAGACAAAAAAAAACGAAGAAGAATAGTCCACTCATGCTAACATAAAAGAGAAATGTAGACAAGCACACACACACATATAAAGATCATAAAACAACGTTTTTTTTTGACCGGAAGTGAAGGTAGTTATCCTTCCTAAAATGAAGAGATAGAGGCAAAGATAGAAAACAAAACAACAATAATAATAATAATAATAATAGTAATATAAATAATAATATAAGAGTAACAACATCTTGACAGTTACAACAAAAACAACAACAACAACAATAAAATATAGTTGTATCGAAAACAATAATCCTCTTCCATTTCTTTTTTCATTTTGAGATATTAGTTGAGATTTTAATTGCTTTTCTTATTGCTATGACCACTAACAGCAAGAACCGGTTGTTCAACTGTTTCATCATTCTCAGATTTTCCATTTGTTAAACCTTTTTGTTTAAGTTTATTAGGCACTTTAGGTGAAGCCATTGCTGTTGGTCGTGTATTGCGTTGTTCACGTCGACGACGCATATGAAACTAAATATACAAATTTAGATTAGTTAGATTATAGAGTAAGAATATATAGATTTCTGAATAGAGTATTACTTGAATAAAATTCCAAACGAGCCAGAATTGTAAGACACCGGTAGCAGCAAGTGTAAAAAGTCGAACAGCAGGTGTATTAAAATTTGAGATAATAATGGATTCATTCAATGTACCATTATTTTCATTTGTATTTGTTACGGGAGCTGTTGTAAATGTAATTTTATTGATTGATGAAGTTTTTAAACCAAACCAAAATGTTAACCAGGCTAAAACAACTGAAGCGAGACGTCCAAAAACAAAAATAACATTCCATATTTTAAATAAATAAGTTGACATTGATTTAGCTGTAGCTGAACCTGTTTTAATAGTAGCATAAAAATGTGCAAGTCGTGATGAATGATAGAATATTTCAATTAAATAATGTATTGTTAATAAAACAAGTGATATACGCCAGAAACGTGTTAAATAAGCATAGAGAATTGTTATTAAATATAAACTTGTATAAACAATACGAGCTGGCATATCTTCTTTTCGAACTTTTTGTAAATATAATTCGGGGAAATTATGTAACCAATATGCTAATTGAACAATAAAATAAAGTTTTGTCCATGTTGACATACCAGTATAAGGATAATCACGCCAAAGATATTCTAATCCTGATCGAAAATAAGATTCTTCATTAAATAACATTATTCCCCAAAGAACACTAACAATATAAAAGAGAATAAGTTGACCAGATTCAAAAAATTTAGCATTCTTAGATTTCGATAAATGTAATTTTTTATATAATTTATCCAAAACATATTCTTGCCAAATAGCATGAGCAGTTATACAGATAAGTGTATATGAAAAAAGCATAGCTAAATCTTTATAACCATAATTAAAAAGTGGAGCTGGTGTAGCATTTAATGAATCAAAAGTTGTTACATTATGACGTGGACCAAAAAATGCCGTACAATAAGGTGATGTTGCTTGAATTACTGTACCTAATGCTACAAGCATCAAAATACCACAGGCAATATCACCTAAATAAATATTTAGTATTAGATTTATTAATCTATATATTTATTTCTCCTTACCATGATTTTGAATGAGATATTCTTGACTAAGAATGGGCGGATTTTTTGTTCCCGTTTTTTTTCTTAAGTGCGGCTGGTGGTGGTGGCATAATGATGTTGTTAATATTTTATAAAAAAATATGGAAGAGAAAAAAATAAAAACAACAAGCTATCTAGAATATAAATTATAATATAATTTTCTTTTTTAGGTTAATTATAAAACAATAACTTCAACATAAAAAATGGAAATGTTTGCTCATGCAAATAATTCATTCGATGGTCTTCCATCGAAAATTCGTGAATATGTCGAAGAAAAAATAAAATTATGTCAACCATCAAATTTTCATGTTTGTGATGGAAGTGAGAAAGAAAATCAACAATTACTTGATGCTATGGAAGAAGCTGGTGTTGTTCGACGTCTTATGAAATATAAAAATTGGTAAAAATTTTTTTAACTTATTTTAAATTTTTATGATTTTTTATTTTAGTTATATTGCCACAACTGATCCACGTGATGTAGCACGTGTTGAATCACGTACAGTTATTTGTACAAAAAATATGAATGATATTATTTCAATACCAGCTGCAGGTTTTCCTGTAATTACAGATCCAAATATACCGAAAAATTTAAAACAAACACCATTAGGAAATTGGATGGATACAGATGAAATGTTAGAAATTCTTGAAGAACGTTTTGATGGTTGTATGCGTGGTCGTACACTCTATGTTATTCCATATATGATGGGTCCATATTCAAGTCCATATTCAAAAATAGCTGTTGAATTAACAGATTCACCATATGTTGTTGTATCAATGCGTATTATGACACGTATGAGTTCAAATGTATTTAATGAAATGAAAACTTTAGATGGTTCTGATATTGTAAAATGTCTTCATTCAGTTGGTGTACCATTACCAACAGATAAACCAATATCACCAACATGGCCATGTAATCCCGAAAAAACATTAATAACACATTTTCCTGAACGAAATGAAATTATTAGTTTCGGTAGTAATTATGGTGGAAATTCATTATGTGGAAAAAAATGTTTAGCTTTACGTATTGGAAGTTCATTAGCTAAACGAGAAGGATGGTTAGCTGAACATATGCTTGTAAGTTACATATTAGTCGATAAGGAAATTTTTTTATTGTGTAATATTCTATTCATTAGATTATGGGCGTAACAAATCCTGAAGGTATTAAGAAATATTTTGTTGCTGCTTTTCCAAGGTAAGAAATCGAAAGGTCAAAAATTGTATTAATGATTATTTTTTAGTGCTTGTGGAAAAACAAATTTAGCCATGCTTCGACCAGTAGGAATTCCAGGATATAAAGTCGAATGTATTGGTAAGTCGAAGAAAGTTTTATAAAGAATAAAAATCGTTTATTTGTTTTGTTTAGGTGATGATATTGCTTGGATGCATTTTGATGAGGAAGGTCGTTTACGTGCTATTAATCCTGAATTTGGATTTTTCGGTGTTGCACCTGGTACAAGTAAATCAACAAATCCAATTGCATTAGGTAATTAATTACGAAATAGTTTTTATTCTTTTTTTTTTACCAACAATAATTTTCTTAGATATGGTTCATGAAAATACAATTTTTACAAATGTAGCTGAAACAAGCGATGGTGAAGTTTATTGGGAAGGAATAGGAACAGATATTGATGGTTTACATCAACCATCAATACGATCATGGAAAAATAAACGATGGTCAGTTGATTTAGGAGAACCAGCTGCTCATCCAAATAGTCGGTAAGATTAAAAAAAACAAAGCGAGCATCGATCTTCATATAAACAATTTTCTTTTTACTATAGTTTTTGTACATCAATTGAACAATGTTCAATACTCGATCCTGAATGGAATAGTCCACAAGGTGTTCCTATTGATGGAATTATATTTGGTGGACGACGACCTGTAGGTGTTCCATTAATTTATGAATCATTTAATTGGCAACATGGTGTTTTTGTTGGTGCAAGTATGCGTTCGGAAGCCACTGCAGCCGCAGAATTCAAAGGTAAAAGAAAACGTTACATAAGTTTGTTCTTATCTAAATATTATCTTCCTTAGGCAAACAAATCATGCATGATCCATTTGCAATGCGACCATTTTTTGGCTATAATTTTGGTAGTTATCTCTCACATTGGTTATCATTTGGAAAAAAAGATGGCCTTCATTTACCAAGAATCTATCATGTCAATTGGTTTCTTAAAGATTCATATACGAATGAATTTCTTTGGCCAGGTTTTGGTGAAAATATCCGTGTAATTGATTGGATATTTCGTCGTTTAACTGGTCAAGCTTCAGCATGTAAAACACCAATTGGTTTAGTACCTGATCAATCGGATTCAAATGGTATTCGCGGTGGTGAAGTCAATCCAAAATTATTAGAAATCTCAAAAGATTTCTGGAATGATGAATGTAAAGCTATGCGAAAATATTTTGAAGCTAATGTCAGTACAAATTTACCTGATGAAATTCAATCAGAATTAAATAACCTTGAAAAACGCTTATCGCTTATGTGAATATATATTGTTTTACGTTCTTTATACATAATTGTTATTAGTAATCTCTCGTTTGGTATTTTTTTTTATTCTCGTCCGCTTCTTTTCTTATTTCGAATTAAAACATAAGATAGTTGAGTTTTACGTTGATTTTTTTTTTGAAATAAAGAAATGCGCGCACATTATATTAAGAAAGAATTCTATACATACAAATAATAATCGTGTGAGTGTGAGTCTGTTGTAAATATTATTAAGCATCACTTTCAGTTGCTAATGTTGGAGGAACAATAGACGAAGGTGATGGTGGACTATCACCATTTTTTAATGGTTGACTAGGAGTTGTTTTGATTGGTGAAGTTTGTTGATTCATAATGGTTGGGATATCTTGATTAACGCCATTTATCGGAACAATCAAATTGTCTTTTGGTATAAGGCCATAACGTATTGCAAATACAGTAAAACGACGGCAAAGATGTGTACGTTCTTCAAATTCATCATAAAGTGAACGATGATGATAATATGCATGAGAAAATATTCGATATATACGACGACATACACTACCTAATTTAGCAATTGATGTTTCTTTTATTGAAATCCTATGTAAAAAAAATTGATATAATGAGACGACAGTTTATTTGTGCATAAATATAGAAAAAAAAGGAGTAATATTACTTTTTTATGGTTCTATTAGTAAAACATCCTTGGGGCATAGATGCGCACGTAGGTAATATAATTATTACTCACACCTACGTCTATCTATATATTCGGTATGTATGAGTTTGGTC